TGTGTGTGTGTGTGTGTGTGTGTGTGTGTGTGTGTGTGTGTGTGTGTGTGTGTGTGTGTGTGTGTGTGTGTGTGTTCTACAACTGTCAGAGCCTTGTTAAGTGTGAGTCAACTCTGATACCCTCTGTATATCCCCTCTCCTCTTGCTCTCCTACCTACAGCTTAACTTTCATGTCAATGATGAAAAAAAGTTAAAATGTGTTTAATCTTAAAATCTGTTATTATATAAGGGTTGCAGAATTATATAATATACAGTACGTCTTACACTTTTAGTTTTTGATCAACACTAAGCTAAGTATTGAAAATGTGTCTTTGCTCTCTAACGTGTCAAACTCTGAAAATGTTGATGTTGCGTTTAGTTAGGGGAGAACATAGCTTCTCAAAAAAGCTCATATCTAACCGTCACAAGATCTCTACCTTAAAATGGCCTGAAAACCAACTGGTGGTTGTCATCGTCCCTTCAGATGGACTTGAAAAGTATTTAAATAGTTTGATGATGTAACTGACCGACCAGGGTTGAATAGACAAAATGGAGATGTGAGAAAACCTGCAGCACTCTAATATGATCCTTCATCATGTAAGGCTCCTCACAGACACCTCTGAGTGTGTGTGTCTCATCTACTTCCCCTTTGTATGAAGCTGCTTTTCAAGCTGGATGTGGGCGCCCTCTGTGCACTTTTTAAACTGTGCTCCCAGGAAACCAATTGCTTCTCTCTATATGCGTGTCCGTATGTGGTGCTAGTCGCTTCTGATATTTGAAATGCGTGCAAGCCGAACGTGTGATTGTTGACACCACAGGAGCAAACCAATATATGTTGTTAAACTGAGCCAGAATTAAAACACACACACTCACACAATTTCACACATTCTCTCTCTTTACAGGAAAGTCTGCAGCAGTGACAACTCCATATTGTGGACAGCTCATGGACTAGATACTCAGTGAAGTCATGAAGCGTAAAGATAGAGAAAAAGTAAAAGAGAGAGTGAAAACAAAAGTAAGAGGAAGAGAGGGAGTCACAGAGACACAGAGAGGGAAGAAGAGAAAAGGGGTGATTGACGATGCACTGACTGAAACAAACGCTCTTTGTGCAGTTCACCAGCACCACTGACTGAAATAGTGTCTGTGTGCATGAGAGCGAGGACAGAAGAGGGAGACTCGGTGACAGAGAGAAATCACAGCCCAGAGACAGGCTGAGAGAGTGTGAGAGGGAGTGAGAGGGAGATGCTCTGATAATTTTTACCCCCACCCACTCCCCCGACACGAAGGGTTTATCTGCAGGGTAAGAGGGGAACAGCCGCAAAGACATCAGTAATTTGATTTTTTTAAGATTAACAAAAATAAAAAGCAAAATAGTGACACTTTCATTTCAGTCCTTCCACGGGACACACAGCTGAATGTGGTGCATGTACAAGTTTGTGTTAAAGAATGATGGAAATTCAGGAATGCATGAGGAAGCTTGTCCAGACAGGAAGCTACACAGGAGGAGTCATTCACGTCTACCCCTGTCTCACTCTGTGCATGTTCAAAAGACAAAAAATGTCGCCAAACTCAGTTTAAATGCATTATTGTAATCCTGCAGTCTGAATACATTCAAATAGACAAGACTCAAATATCTATAGAGGTTATGATAAACTGTATGTCTATATTCTTTCAAGTTTATGAGTAAAGTTTGTGTCACTCACGCAGTCGATCTATTGTGATGGAGCTGCTAAATATAACCTTCTCCAATCCATATCGCATTCTAACCAGCTTTTAGATATTTTAAGGCAGAGATTGGTATTGAGTCATTCAAAAGCGGACAAAAATATACCAAGGGAATAACTACATACTCAATATCCCACCCAGGCTTTCCATAGGACACTCTGACACCTCCCTGTTTCTGGATGGAGAAGGAGCTTAAAGAGCACAACGCTCCCACAGCCACACCCATCCCGCCGCGCAAACACAAATATGCCTCTTCCCGCTTTTCACACAGATTCTCGTTCTAACACGTAATTAAAATGAAATAATTTCCCAAACACCAAGCGGCTGCAGTCTACACTTTGATTCACCCAGTAACAGACATGGCACGGCAACTGCTTGAGCATTGGTGTTTGGGATGATGGCTCATTGGGCAACGAAAGGGAAAATAAAGAGCAGGGTAAAATTATGCAGCTACATTGCATCATGTTGCATCACAGAGAATATTTACAGTTTTTACGCTGCTTATAGTAACAATGGAAGACATTTTATAATGATAGTGTTTTCGCTTTATGTTTCTTTTAATAGGGCTGGCTATCATGTCTGTTTTTTTTATCATGAAATAGTTCCTAGTTTGAGGGTTGTTCTTTCCACCTGAACATTTGGACTTAGGTTGATCTGGTTAGTTTTGGTTTCAAATTGCAATTTAGTGAGTAGACTTAAGTCACACACACACACACACACACACACACACACACACACACACACACACACACACACACACACACACACACACACACACACACACACACACAATTAAGTCAATGTTGACTTGAACCGTGAACTACATTCTGTTCACGCCTCCTCACAAACAGTTAGTTGTGCTAGAAGACTGTTAGAATATTTTTCTAAGTGGGAACAAAATGTCAAAAGGTAATAGCCAATGCAAATTTTCCACAGATGAACAAAAGCAGCCACAGGGTTCAGGCGCTAGAAAAAAAAGCATAATTGTGCATGAGGAAAATTAGATCTAATGCTCTCATCCTTTTCAAATCACTTCTTCCATGCAACTTCCATTTGTATTTTATTCAGAGGTCTCGTTCAACATTGAACTAAAAGCGGTTTTATTAGGATTATTTATCCTTTGCCCCTTGCTGCTCTTACTTGCACAGTATGAGGAGCTACTTGATTACCAAACGGCTCGTACAGCTAGATGTTTATGTGGTGTGCAGTCATTACTATGGTTACTGCTTTGCTCCTGCCTCTGACCCTGCTTTTGTTCTGGTGGAGAGGTGGGTCAGTGGTGGACTGGCCTTTTTTAAATTTCTTGTCATCTATCATGCTTTCAAGCGACACCAGATTATGCTTTATACCGGTATCATTTCAATTGCCACAGACTTCCCTATCTTTAGGTATCATCAATACAAGCCTGCCCGGCACACCACAAATGTCATGGTTCCCATGACGATAAGTGACTGCTTCTGGATTTTCACTCGCCGCTAAATATCAAGACCAGTCGGCCAGGGAGAGGATCAATAGAAGTATTGTTGCTCTTAGGACGCCTTGTCTTTCCAGGAAGTTACTGCTGCTGAAGGGGTCTGATCAATGACACTGTCACAGAGACTGACAGAGACCGAGTCATTCATTCAGCAAGAGGCAGGGAGGGGAGGGGGTGGGGGGTCTGGAGCAGGAAGCACAGAGGGAGAGAAGTCGGCAGGGAGGAATGTAAAGAAAGAGGAGAGATTTTACAAGAAAGACTGAGAGATCCATCCCTAGAGGGATAATCCTGATTATTTTTGCAACTGTGCAGATTCTAAAAAAAACACAAACAGCAGACAACAGAATAATGATTTTTGGTTAAAAAAGAAAACCTAGTTATACAACTCTATCATGTATAAATTATCTTATTCTTCTTCTTATGTTATTTGTTTTGTTTGAAATTCACACATTTCAGGAGATGGAATACCATGACGAGAGCACATCATACTGATGATTTGGTTAAATTACTATGAATGTAAATAAACAGTATTACTGTAAAAGTTGTTACATATACACAAGAGAGTGCATAACAGACCCATCAAGACGCGTTCAGTCACGTTGGTTGGACTAACCTACTGAATTTTTTACGCTGCACTTGTCTGTAATGAGGAAAACAAGCAATAACCATGCATGTCAGGGATAGAGTAACACAAACTCAGTGCAGCTTGGACACAAAAAACTGAATATATGTCAGGTTCCGGCCACATTTAAAACATCCCTTTTCCTGGTCAAAAAACACACTAACATCTGATTAAAACCCGTCTACTGCGGTCATTTGACTGCGTAGACAGGTTTTAGTCAGCAGTGATAGAAACGTGACAACCAGGGGTATGCGTTAATTTAGAATTTAGTGGCGTGGAACACGACACATCAGGGGATAATATGAAAGGCAAACTCTTCTAATGTTAATGGGAAAGGAGCCAATCACCTCTTTTTGCAGGTTTACCCACGCTTAAAAGACCCACACAATTCTGGTATAAATGGGGTATAATATGCAAAAGGTTAATATGAAACTTTGTGACTCAGGTAGTATTGGTGTGAGCCACAGGAAGAGGAGTATAGAAAAGAGTGGTAGGAAATGAAAAACATTCCAGCAACAAACCAGTGAGAAAAA